GCTCAGGCTGGTCTCGAACTCCTGAGCTCAAACAATCCTCCCGCCTCGGCCTCCCAGAGTGCTAGGATTACAGGCGTGAGCCACCGCGCCCGGCCCGTCTCCTGATTTTTGATAAACGTATCTATCACTGTGTCTGTGCCCTGTGCAGGCCAGATGGGCAGATTCTACGACGAGTCATCACTGAGAGATCAGGAGTGCCAAGCTACCACTTTCCATCTGTTTCTCTGTTTCCTTTCGGAACATACAAATAACATTTCCTTCCAAAGCTATTCATATGAAGCATTTATACGAGACTCTGCATCCTAAACACTGCCGTAGCCATCAGACCAACCCACGGAGCAAGTCAAGATGTGGGGAGACACGTGAGGCAAAGATCGGGCCGAGCTCCTTGGAGTTTCCGCTGCAAACACACACTCCAATTACGTGACAGCGTCCTGACAGCAGTTGTGATGTACAAAGCACACCTCATCAAATAAAAACCGTCTGGAGAAACCTTTACAGGTCAGTTTTACTTCTGACAACTTCAAGAGGATATCCTGATACTTTGTTTGAATGAATGAATATCCCTCAAACTGGTTGTCTAGTAGAATCTTAAAAGTATTAATGTTAATGGTATTTTTATGTCAATTACATCTGAAATATACCTCTGCAGTATACCACTAGAGCACACAATCTGATGGTCGATTAGGAGAAAACTGTTACATTAAACAGATTGCTAAGAAAAATGTGAAGATAAATTGTGTATGTAATAAAAAGATGAATTAAAAAATTAAAAGGAAGCAATCCATATAAAAAGAAATAACATTTCAAATTTACAAAACTGAAAACAGTTCAATGTTTTTCAATTTTGATTTTGTATCCAATTGATAAAACTTAACTTTTCAAAAACAAAATCAAATTGGTTTTATTGTTCCAAATGTTGACATATTGGAAGCCATTCCATTTATCTCTGTAGGTCTAGATTGCTAGTTCTTCAGGTATATTTTCTAAACAAATGATTTAAGGTTTTTTTTTTTTTTTGTAATGAAATTATGTCAGTACATGCAATACTTGGGAAAGAAAATGTTTAGAAAAACTTAACTTAAAAAATTTAAATATGAAAAATACCACAGATGCAACATGCACATTGTAAACAGTAAGAGAAGAGTTTGGCCCTGTGAGCCTAGGCTCTTTGAGAACTGGTAAATGACTGCGCATTTTGCTTTGGGCCAAGGAGAGGCTGTCACCTGCAGTCTTTTGTCCCCATAGAAGCAGGCAAGCACATTGCTATGCAGCCAGTGTAAGCTCAGTATTATCATTCTTTAGCACTGACTTTTAAGTCATTCACACTGCAGGTCAAGAAAATGAAATGTTCCATCTCTGCATGACACAGTTGCAATGTAATTATGGCAGCAACCATGCAAACCGGGACAGCAACTCGGAGAAGGCAGGAGGGCTGCCTGGGCCTGACCTTCTGGCCCAATGGAATGTTAGGATTTAGGAGAAGCATCAGTATAAACACAAAGTCTGGTTGAAAGAAGTGGCAGCTGTCAGGTAAACTGATGGGCAGGCGTCACCGATTCTGGGTCCTCCTACCCCCCCACAGACAGTCCCTGCCTTCCTCGCCTGCTCCGTTCTCTGGCCCTTCCCGAAACGGGCATCTTTAGGCTGTGCTTAGACAGGACGCTCCTCCTTCCACTTTTATTTCTTTGGAAACATGGTTGTGGTTATGAGCCGTCCATCAGCCTTGCACAGAGCATAATTTGTGACAGAGGATGGTTGTAACTGATGGCTGTTTTCTCCCCCCTCTCCGAAATCTGTGAATTTAACAATATAATTTACAAACTGCTTGGCAAAGAGTTGTCTTCATAATATCTTCCCCTCTGTCTTGTTATTTTCTTGCCAGATTTCTAATGGTATAAACTTTTATCCCATTTTTTTGTATAAATTTTAATTGTTCGCGGAAAGGCATTTTCTCCTCTCCTTGTGTGCATTCTGTTTAGAAAGTGGTGCATGTTTAGTTCCTTTCAAAGAGAATAAACTTATATGTCTGCATTTTACAGTGGGCATTATCTAGCCTGGCCTATATTCATTAAAATGATGAAAAAGCTAAATATTACAGGGAGACTGAGGATGAGAGGCTCCTGAAACCATAGTGTATAATCCTCACAGATGCCTGTTCTACTGACTCCTAGTAATAGCACTGGTTATTTTTTTTTTTAATTGACAAAATAAAATCCAGTCAGACTGCAGTGTTTAAGATTTCAGATATAACTTCTGGTGTGAAAAAAAATCTTAAAAGAAATGGAATGATTATCCAACGCAGTACTTGCTTGGTTCTCAACTTGGCAGAAAACAGTCAATTCTGGTCCAGTGTTCAATGTTAAATTAAATAACAACAGCCAGCCAGCCCAAGAACACGATGTACTCAGCCACTGGCTTGAGGTCTGGGCCGAATTCTGACTACTGAACTGGCTACGCAGAGTTTCCCAAAAGAGCCAAGCGTGCAAGCCCAGACGGCCATGAAGCTGTCACTGACGCCCAGAGCTACTGACCGCGCCACTCACAGCATCAGGGCTGGTCTCGCCTGCAGAGAACAGGAAGCCTTGCAGGGGTGGGTGGGGTGGCAAGGTTAGGAAGGGCCATGGGGACAGTGTGGCTGCCCGGAATCTCTGCATAAAAGTGGCTAGTACTAGGCTGACCTTGAATGGGGAGGAAAAAAATCAGCAAAATTCTTCATTTATTCACCAAGTTCTCTTTTTTTTTTTTGAGACACAGTCTCACTGTGTTGCCCGGGCTAGAGTGCCGTGCCATCATCCTAGCTCACAGCAACCTCAAACTCCTGGGCTCAAGCGATCCTCCTGCCTCAGACTCCCGGAGTAGCTGAGACTACAGGCATGCGCCACCATGCCCGGCTAATTTTTTCTATGTATTTTTAGTTGTCCAATTAATTTATTTCTATTTTTAGTAGAGACAGGGTCTTGCTCTTGCTCAGGCTGGTTTCGAACTCCTGAGCTCAAACAATCCACCTGCCTCGGCCTCCTGGAGAGCTAGGATTACAGACCAAGTTCTTATTAAACACCTAACTATATGTCAAGCACTACTTTAGGAATAGAGCAGTGAACAGACGGGCAAAACAAAAACCTCTGTCCTTGTGGAACTTGAATTCTTATAGGGACAGGCAAACGGGATGCGACCCAGTACCGCGGGCAGTGTGGCAGGCGGTGCGCTGGGCTGGCTGCAGAAAGACATCCAGGGGGCTGCGCCGGGGAGTGTGAGGCCCAGGCAGATGCAAGATCAGAGAAAATAACATCTGGGCAGAGACCTCAAGAGGAAACGGAGTGAGAGAGGCTGATACGCAGGGAGGGGAAAAGAGAAAGGTACGAGATGAGACAGAAATTCTGAGTGTGACTGCAGGGCAGGGGGCCGGGAGGGCTTGGAGCATAACGTCGGAGGGCAGTGCCTCTGCAGATCCCTCTGCTTGAGTTAGAGCCACAAGTGGACCCTGAGTAGAGGAGGGATGTGATCTGGCTTAAATTTAACAGGATGGTACCAGCAGCCGTGTATACGAGTCATTGGGGGACCACATGGAGACGGGGATATTGTTCCTCAGCTCTGATCCCAGCGAGGGGCTGTGATGGTTTGCACCAAGATGGCAGCAGTGGAGGTGGAAAGACGCAGCCAGACTTGAG